CTGCTTTGTATTTTCGATGCTATTCGATATTATGAATTGAAGTGAGAGGTAGTTCCAAAAGATATCCATAGATACATTCCAAACAAGGTCCTCTGGGAACGCGGCGTCGAGTACACCTCCTCGATTAACTTGGCAAAAACAATGCCCCCACAAATCTGATTTAATGGATCTACTCTTTAAATACTCCCGATACTATTAATAAAAAGGTGTAAACATTTCAGCAAAATTGATCGAGTAATTTTTGCGTCTACATACGACAGGCATACGCTTATTCCCTTTTATTTATGTGTAGATGTATACTGATACTTTAATGTTTAAAAAACACGGAATGAAAACATATATTTCGTAGAATGGTTTGTAGATAACGAACATAAATTATTTAAGGCTTAATAACATTAATGAAAGTTATCGTAACCAAATTCATAGAAGGAAAGTAAAAGTTATATATTATTTAATTTGTCCTCGTAGAACAAATTAAATAATGAATACAATACAATAATGAATGTACAGAAACTTACTGTACGCGAACACTGTTTATTAGTGAAATTCTCTTAAGTAACTAATGGCTATTCAAGGTCTTTAAAACATTTAATATTTAATTTACAGAAATAAAATTGCAATCCAGTTGTTGGGACTACTCTATATGTCTAGACTTATAGAGACGACAAGCTAATAAGTTTGTAATTATATCTTTGCCATTCTATTGCAAATATTATATTAATTCGTTATATTGCAAATACTGTGATGTATACAAGCTCTGGTACAAGATAATTAATCCATCGTATCGAAATCACACTGCGAATGTCAATGAAAGTAATAACCCGATTACAAAAAGAAACAAACCGCCTTCTTTCTAAAAGACTCCGAGCCTCGTGAACCGATCTGTCGCTGCTAATTTTAAAACATCTCAATAGCATGGAAAACATTTTAAATTATTTCTCATCGAATGCTATTGGTTCGGCGATTATCCGTTCATCTCGATAACTCGCGTCGGGAGGTCGATCTTCCGCGACATCACTCATCGACATCAGCAATCGAACGCGTCGGTTGGCGCTTTCGGCGTCGCGGTCAAGTGGCGCCTAACGAAGGGCGGCCGATGTTGGTTATTTTATCAAGTGAAATGAGAGTCATTAGGTCATAATCTCGCATCTAAAGAGAGGACCCGGATCGCCGCACCACCTTGTGCCGATGCTCGCCCCACGATTTCAGCCCGCCTCCCGCTGCACTGTGGTTCTGACCGAGAAAAAAGGGGGGCGATAATAGGAGGGTATGCAATTAGTTTATAATTTTAAGCTTTATTGCATGTTTTCATAACGAGCGTTATTAGGAGCGAGTTTTCAAATTTGGACGAATGCAATAAAGCAACATTATAAACGAGTTGCATACGCTATTTTTTTGTATTACACATTTATAAGTATTACACTTTTATAAGAGAATCAAACTTAATTTTGAAGAACACCTATCTTGTGGTGTCTCGGGTATTTGACATATGGGTGAGAAAACGGTGGTCGGCTGTTCCCTTACCTCTCGATACTCTCGTTGCGATTGGCAGAATGCGTGATGCAATCATTTGTACCGTAAAATGCTAATACGTCGTCATATGTGTCGTATAATGCTCGATTTATGAACAATTTCTTGCAACAGAAAAGAAGGTTCATAATGTTTGTATACAAAAAACGTAAATAGAAACTTTTGTACTTTCTCGCTTTACTACGTTTACGTAGTAGAGAAAGTACTGTATGGTTGAATCGGTGTTTTTCCGACAGACAATCTCGTGTGGTAAGGATCTGGTAACGAAACAGTTAATAAACCTTGTTTCAACATGTAGTAAATTGCTTCCTCTTACATATTGCGTACTCAAAATCTACGTTGTTTGAGTCATTGATAACAAGGAATTGGTTGACCGCGAAACGACTGTCCGTTTGCCTCAGTGAAGAATGTGAAGTGACTAAACCATAACCAGGATTTTCTCTAAAATTGATATTTCCCAATCGATCATGCTCATGTACTTGAATTTGAAACGGATACGTCAGTTTTGGATGTACCTTATATGAAGTCTCAGTGACCAGCCTTTTGTTTTTTATTCGTACAATTATATCATTTCAAGACTAAGAAAATACCTTCCGGTGTAGATATTCATTGAGTGGGGCCTTGGGTATTTCATTATTATTGTCATGAGCACTTATTAGCACTACAGTAAGTCAAATTTTTTGATTGTTTTCATCTTTCTTTGCTAGTTTGGTTCCCCAAAAAAGTTGAATTGCTAAAATTAAAAGTTCTTGAAAAGTTAGTAACAATATTTTTTGGAAGTGCCAATATTATATGTGCACGTACTATATTAGTCGTTAAAGAATTTAGCAAGGATGATAATTGAAATTGAAAAACGTTTCCACTAACTATTGCGAACCGATCTACTATTTCTTGCAATACTTTTAATGTATTGTTCTAATTTCTTACACAGTCTTACTCGTATTTATTCGTCCAGCTAATAGCTAATTTTCGGGATTCGTAGAAAATGTGTATATTTCGCGTGCCTGGCGTACGATCTTGCCTATTGTGACGTCATTTATACAGCGATGATCACAGCGACCACAGACACAGAGCTTTCGTATAACAAATATTATAAAACAAAGAAAACAAAACAAAATCTATACATCTAATAATCTACTTAACACCCTACCTCTGAATAGACCCTACTATCCCTGACGCGGGAGCGAATAAAACCGATGAACGAATTTTTTGATTGCGGCATTCGCCCCCTACTTTGAAGCGGCAAAAGCTAGCTCGTGACCCGGATTCAGACTGGGACCAAAGTCCCTTCTGGCGCACACCAACGGCTGGTCTTGACCTCGAATCGAGAGGAGGTCTTATCCGATTGAGAATCGCGTGAATCCAGTGGCCTCAACCCTCTTCACCACTCGGAGCACGCACACAGACGCTCTCCGTGAGCGCAGTCCACCCAAGCATAAGTCCGCAAGGCTTCGTCACCAGTGACTCCAGCGTCGCGAGCCGGGCTCGCAATATTATGCACCGTCGTGCGCAAGTTTCTGTGCACACAACGCACGAGGTTCCCACTGTCTCCAGAACCACCACTGGCTCCGTACACTCTGTTATATAAGGCGCAGCCCGTGACTAGCAAGTACGCCCCCTCGCTCTGTTTATAACATGAAAAGCTCATAAGCCGGATGAATACCCAAAGCTTGTGTCCCCCGTTTCCGCGTTCTTCCTATTACGGAAAAAACCTATCTTCCTGTGGTAGGCTAATACTTTCCAAGAGTCCCCAAATAGATGCCATGAGGCACGCTGGCTAATACGTTACACTATGCATGGTCAAAAGTGTTAGGAAGTAAAGTCAATGAAGGGAAATATTTAGCGTAGGAATAATAATAATAATATAACCATTTTATTTAGTCATGAAAACAAAATTTCACAAGCCTTTAATTTTCATGAAACAGCAAACGGCTGGAATACAACGCAAAATGTCACTGAAAAACAACAATAAAAAAAATTATTTAACATAAATCTCTTACTATAACAAATATATCTATTATTTTTATTTAATACAAGACAGGTCACACGTCTTCTTAACATTTGTGAATTGGCAATCTTAAAATTTACTCCAAAATTTCTTTACGTAACAATATTTGGCCTTCTTACAAATAGTTTATAATATACTTTTCTTTTGTTGATGGTACAATTCCACTTAGACAGTGTCTCTTACTTCACTTTAAAAGGAATTTTCACAAAAATATTCTCACTAGAAACAATTACAAATCTGCCTTTCTGCGGATACACCATCCGTACTCCATCAGTTCTCTGCTCTAATACAGTCCTCTACATCTTCAGAAAAAACTATTTTGGACTTCCTCTTCTTCCCGAAACATCTTACATGCGTTTTTGATCAGCGCACCCGTTGATTGGCCCTGTGTTACAGACGACTGAGCACTTTGCTTAAAGCATTTGACATCTGAGCGCTACACGAACCTAATTCCGTTCCATGTTCGATTCTACGGGTAAATTCATCGTTGATTTTTGGTTTGTTCAAAGTCTCTCTAATCAATTTTTTGATTGGCTGATCATTTGTCTACACTGCACTAATTTACTAATATAGGGAGATTGGTTACTCGGCTGTCCATGTTAACAAATTATCGTCACTTTCCATAACAACGAGGTATGAATTACCTCAAGACAACGCCGAAATAACGACAAATATAGGTTTGTGGATGATGGTACTGATTTCAGCCTTTTTTATAACTGAAAGGGCGAAGATTCCTAAAGTATAATATAATAAATTGTAAATTTGAATTGAAGTTGCCGCAAACTTATTTGTACTAAAATACAAAACAAATTTTGAACATTTTCTTTTCATTTCCGTTTATGTGACAAATTTTGTCGTTATATTCTCTAGTACTGATAAAAAATGGGGTGTATTTCCCGAAATACGAAGACGCAATTTACCTGCAATTCATCGTTTAAAAATATTTAAATTTAATGAATTAAAAAAATGTTCCAACAGATTTTTTTAGTTATTATCGTATACTAATCCTAAGTGACGACCTTGCTTCTGCCACATCGAATATGTGTATATTTTAGAATTACGGCTACTGATTCAGGTGATTGATAAATGATTTCGGGCGCATCAACTATGCCACCAGTCCCGTAAGTGTAGTGCATATTTTGTCGCGGTTGGTGGCGGTGTTCTTCCCCCGCTGGTTGGCGAGATCCTGCGCCAACCTACGTCGGCTTGCGTGGATTTTCCAAAGCAGGTATCTCTGGCGCCGCCTCAGCCGGGATAAGCTGTAAGCTCGCGACTGGTCTCCAGACGAGTACAGTAGTAAAGCTACGGATTCAACAACGAAAACCCCGAAAATCCTTCAGCCCAACATTACAGGTCACTACAATTTTCTCTTATTGACCACACTTTTCTCGAACCTGACCACAGGGCGGCGCCCGGCCGGCCGCAGGACCAGGTTAAAAAATATGTAGCTGACCGGGTGGAGGGCCGAGTGAGCCGCACTGTTCTAATTGCCAAGTGGAACGCGCGCCTTCGGCGGGGGTGGCGCTGCGGAATGAAGGAGCTGCAGCGGGGGCGGAAGCGGCGGTGGGCGGAGGAGCTCCACGTAAGCCAGGTCAGTGTAGTGAGAGGTACAGATTGGTAGAGGATGTTGCAGGAGAATGCCGCCGTATATCAAGCCTTTGCAGAAGAGCGGTTTGGGGCCTTCGTAGTAACTACTGTACACTAATTTTCGTTCCGTGTCTTTAATATGGCATTATTTCAGTGGAATAGCAGTACCAAGAAATTGTAGAAACGGAAAACGTCTATAATATGAACTATAAAAATTTTATAAAGACAGTGTATATAGATATAATATTTTTAAACAGCTATTACTTAAACACAATTTTAAGTAATTATTATCTGTACTAGTGTAAATAAATGTCATGTCTCTCAAACGAATCCAGCGATGTCCTCGGAAAATTCTTCATTTTCTGTTGATATTACGTTAAGGCGATTGATAAAATAAGTCTTGAGCAAATACGGAATAGAATCCTGTGACATGAAGCACCGTTGACGACTTGGAGAAATAAATGTTGTAGGTCTGCTTAAATATTTTTTTATTTACGAAATCTACACGAATTGACCGCGATAGTTTGATAGATATCGTGAAGTTAAATCGTGATTTGGATACTATGAAGGAATTGTTGTTCAAGATGTAACAGATGAATGCCGTGACTTTTCTTACCTATATAAATATTGAAACTCATAATATGATAAATAACATGTAACAGAGGAATATTTTCCTTCGCAGAAAATGTGCCCCAGGAAAGATGCTCTTACATTTTCAAGCACTTCTGTTTTGTTCATCCTTTATTTCTTCTTGTCGATAAATCTCTTCCCCAGTTTCAAATGTAACCATCTAGCAGTTCATAATTTCTTTACCTTTCAAAACACCATCATCTTCTAAGATAATTTGTTGCGAATTTCCTCTGAATGGTAATCATGCCGTGTTGTTAATGTTTCTTGGTTTAAACATCTCACTTACGCCAACCCCTTTGCAATCGTATACGGATTTATGGCCTTATCTTCTTTAAACATTCGCACAACCATAGTTTCAATTATGTTAATTTTAATTTCGAATCCTCCTCCTACTTAGTGCAATATTGTCTATGATTTTAGTTAGAGGTTATTAGTGGGAGAAAAGTGTTCAATGGAATATCCTTGAACCCGTCTTCGTCGCAAATGAGGTGTTGGGTCGTTGAGCTCTTTAAGAGGAGCAAAGAACACGGAGGGGAGAACAAGGGCTAAGTCACGGTCGGGACAGGTTCCGAAGTGGAATTAGGATATGGGGCACGAGCTGAGAGAAATTGCAGACGTGTTGGGACGTGGGCGGGCTTGGCACCTGCCTGCAGTGTTGTTAACGCTTTCGCGGACCGTGACGGAGAATGCAGAAGTTGCCACATGTGGTTTTCGCAGAAGCGTGTGTGGGAAGAGTGTGCAATCGCATACTGCGGGCTTTGGACCGTTAAAGAGGCCTATCGAAGAATTTGTAAGTGTCCTATTCCGCCTGTGATGGCCTCCTAATTCGAAAATATATTTCTTAAATTTTATTGGAATATCACAGTAAGTTTATATTACACTGTAAAAATTTTGTTATTATTTAACAGCAGTTCTGAGGATCTGAGCACCAAAAAATTCACAGAAATATACATTTATTAGATTCTTAATTATCCTTAATTATTATCATGATGAATTTCACCATGTATTTACAATATGGCGTACATTTCTGGTTTGGACAATAAATTATGCACAATTTACAAAAACGTCTCCCCCCCACACCACCGAACCGTTTTCAGATATCTCTCGCCATCAAATCGGAATGCGTTAATTCAAACAATATTGATTTTTGTTTGTTTTTTAAAATAAAACATAATTTGCATACTATTTAATTTAATTTGCAGACTATTTACAGTAATTTGATGAATTTTTCATAATTGTCTTACAGAATATTACACCAAGATTATTCTGAAAAATAAATTATTGAGTTGTCCACTTCAAGACCTGATACAAAGTGATCTTAATATGTTTTTAGTTGTGAAAGATTGAATTTGACATTATCGCCTATTGTTATGACATTTTTGTCTACTGCAAAACCAACGTCAGCTTTCGAGCATCGCCCTTTCCAGCGACCACAACGGGCTATACTGCCAAGACATGCATAGTGGGCGTGTCCGTCGCCAGGGTTCGAAGTCGAGAACCTTGTCTAAGAAGACGCGCCCAGCTGTTAACGTTTCGCGCCTGCACCGCCATAAACCGGGCACGTCTTCTGCAATGCAACGCGACTCTCCACATCAATAACGTGTCGTTCATAAAAAGGCCCACGGTATTCTAATAGATTCCTCTTCAGGACACTCCCCGAATTTAAAGGAATAACAATGGACGCTGAGCAATAAAATGGACAGCTCTTCCAAGATACGAGGCAGGGGTGGTAAAACTGGCTTTGTGTCTTGGGAAATGATTCCGCTTAACACATCGCGTATACATTTATCCGTGAATCTTCGATGCCGTGTTCTTGAACAACTCTAAAATCACACTATCACTTCCACATGGGTTCTAAAACTTTAATTTATAGCCGAATGGAAGGTAATTTTCGAATTTTATTATTTTCGTAAGTGGCGTGATATATTTTAATGCATATTTCATTTGAAAATTTGCAGGTCGTAAGTTTGGAGCCAAGTGCGAACTGTCGCCCGCCTCCTTTGGAGTCGCATGCTGGGCGGTGAGGGTCGACTGTTGCGTGGAGTGCATCGTCCTGAAGAACGAATGGTGAGTTCTGTGTGCACGTGCTCGCTCTTTCTCCAAGGAAATTTGCATAAAATGAGACGTTCGGAAAGCAGGGTTCCTGTCGGGGCGATCCCGTAACTAGATCTTTCACCGTCTGGGCTTTATGGCTATCGCATCCCCACTTGGCGTGGAGGAAGTGTTGAATTTGTGAATCTCTGAAAGGTTGCTTGTTGTGAATGAAGAAGTCTCGGGTTGGTTAGAATTTAAAGTAGTAACATGTGGCTTATTGGTCTCGGTTTCGCTTTGGCGTTATCTTTTGCAAACGTTTTTGAGGTTTGGAACTGTATTCATATGATAATTTCAATTTCGTCGGATTAAGAAGGTGACAATTCTTCAATCACCATATTTCTTGAAGATTTTATAAAACTTTGACTACTAGCACTAACAATTGCAAGAAAATTGCAAGACGATTTATGGACTGCAAATATGTGGCGATATAATAAGTAAAATGTGCAGCAGCACAAATACTGCTGAACAAAATCAACCAAAATGTTTTCGCAAAAAACCACCTCCACACTGCTAAAAAATAATAAATAAAATGTTCTCGTTTAACACGGCTGTATATTATATATTTTACAATACCTTCACTCATACTATAAAAACGTTGCAAAGGTCTATGTAGTTACAAATTACAACAATTCCATTCGTACCAAGGACATTAAACAAATAGCGCTACAACAGCAAATACGTTTTCGCACTATTTGTAACGATTACACAATATTATGATAGTAGTATTTGAACCCTCAAAAGTGTTTCTAATCAGAAAATCTTTTTTCCACTCCAGGATTCGAACTCTGATTCTTAAAGGTATCAGGCCATTAACATTAGCCCCTAACTCTATCCTCACAGGTCAACGCAACCTTTCCTACGTAAGAGAAACAAAGTTGAACATTAGTATTTATTAATACTCAAAACTTCAGAGACTTTCATTGAAAATGTGTATCACCAATATTGTAGTTTTGCACTGTTATTGATTCGCAATTTTAAAAAATACAGATAGTTCCTCGAAAATAAAAAGCCTCGGCTCTTCGAAAGGAAAATTAAAATAAAAAATTCGAGCCGATTACGAGAAAATAATTTTTGTAATTGCCTTTATTTCAAGCAAACTTTTGTTGCACAACAAGTGTTGCACATTATCGATGTCAATATTTTGTAATTTTCGAAAATCCTGAGAGTTTGCAGAAAAAGCCTACGCTTCTCTTAAGCATTTAATGCTTGTAAGAGGAAACAAAATAAAGAAACGTTTGAGCCGATTTTCGTGTGACCATTTGTTTAAAAATTACCTCTATTTGAAGCAAAATTATACTAAAAGTTCTCATATTTTCGAAAAAGACCTTATTTAAATCTATCATTGACAAACAAATTTTATTAAGAGAAAAATCTCTATTTTCAATATTGTAGTTGTAGGAAAACGACGAAAAAATAAACTTTCGCAATTTTCTAAAATTCAAGAACGTCAATATAAATTAGTCTAGCTCTACCCTAGTAAAAATGACTCAAAGAATTGGAGATATTTTTGAGGAAATGTAAAAGAGGTTGCTTCATGATAACAACTTCCAAAAATCAAAATATCCTTTCCAAATGTGCAGGTTCCCGGGCTCGGGCAGATCAGTCAGAGAATATAGGACTATAGAATACAGAATGCTTTTGGACGTAATGTTAGGAACGGATTAAGCAATAGTATTGACCAGAAACTGACAGACAGACATAAGTTTGTCCTTAAACCAATTTTTCGGTGTCACGGATTCAAAAAACGTGAAATCTGACTATATAACGTGTTGGAGAAATAAATTTACTTCATATTGCGACAAAAATTTCCACTTTTTCGATATCATGAGCTCAAAATACGAGTTTTTTTGGGGGGGTAAAAAATCTACATTTTCCGTTGAAGCATTTCAATGTCCTTACTGCGTAAGCGCGTAATATTGCTTGAAAGTAAATAGTTTCTATTTAATAACGCAACACGTCTACAGCAACTATTTAATGGCAGGCGGCCTGTTCCTCGAAGCCTTATCACCTGACATCGCTGTACTGTAAGCAGTGACTCACTGAGTATGATAATTCAGGCGGTAAGCGCAGTATAAATATTTGCCGAGTAACACAATATAATATTCATATTTTACTGTCAGAATTGAACATGTTTCATTGTTTTTTTAATTTTCTCCGAATCTTTGGGTATCTAACGAAACTATAAATGCCCCTCACATGCCAGTAAGCTGTGAAATTTTATTTCAAAGTCTCCGCGCATTGGAAATTAGTAAAGTAGGTTGCAGCATAATAATAGTTATTTACGAAACTAGAAATGAAAGTCGATATTTGGCGAGTGAATAAAATGTTGGCATTTTAAAAAGAGTACGATTACTTTTCAGTACGTATTCATGGAAACTTACAAGCAGATATTCTTGAGATCATTCTCAGTATGCAAGGCGACTGCCATTCTGATTCATTACATCCCAATGGTTCGTTTACTTTGCAGTACCAAGTTGTTTTATTTGGCCTTCTTTGCGGTACGTGTATGGTAAATTAGACTGTATCGTACGAGTACAAAAAGTAACAAATCAAGAAATAATGACTGTAAGTACTACTTTCCATGCACGACTGCTGAAAATCGCTCAGGCATTCTTTTTATTACCACTCTGTTTTTCAATCGGGTTATTCATCGTATAATTTTTAATATAAATAATGTAATAGACGTTTACAATAAGTTGCTCTGATCACGGAGATAAGAACGGAAGAACTTTACGACTGATCATAAAAATCTGTGAAAAACACCACGCAAAAATTGTGAAATACGCCACGTGCTAACTTTCACACTGTGTGGCACTCCAATCCTGTCCGAACGATGATCGCGATAACGACCGGACAATCCAAGTCGTGAGTCGGTGTAACAGGAGCCTTCGTTTGTCATTCTAAATGTTTCGAAAGCACCCATTCATTTATATTCAAATTTACTCTATTTCACTTCACTTCTGTGCTAATAAAATGAATATTTCATTCGCCTACTAATTAGTAGTAAATTACAACATTATCACGGAAGATAAGGAGATATGTCTCGTAATTAACCAGATATTGAAATGTAATGATCCGCTTGGAAATCTAAAGAAAACCCGCTGTGGGATTAGTATTCGGAGCTAACTAACAAGACAGAACGTGGGCGAGCATGCGGGACACGCTATATATCGCAATCATGCAAAAGTAAGATGTACTGCTCTTAATGCGTGTGACAGGTTCGGTCACTGGGATTAATCAGACGATCGATCGCTGTTTGGTGTACGCTTTGTTATTTGCAGGAGGCGCAGGCGATATAGGTGGCGTAGGCTGTTGGCTAGGGGGGTCAGCGCAGTAGCAAACAGCAGCTTTTCTACTACAGGAAACCCTTTTGGAGATAGATCGGCATCAGTGTTAGACTTAGTTCGGTAGTTATTCGGTACACGAATTTGTAGTTTTGAAAGATTTTTATGAGAAGAACCCAGAGAATAGAAGCGATCTGAGACAGTAGTTCCCATTAGAGGCCCATTACTTTTTTAAAATGTTTCGCTGATATGTATTTTATGAATGAAAACACAAACATATTCATAATCCACACGATAGTGTAGTGAGTGAAGTGGTGAAGTAAGCAACAGCTAAGACTACTCCTTGGCTAGCAATGCCAGACGGCGGTTCCGCGCGTTAGAGACAGAACTGATAAAGGGAGGTGGGTTTTGTGAGAGTCCCACGTAGGGCAGAGCACATGATCTACAACATATTTTGAATATTTCCACCAACCCACGTAAGTAAGTACTTACATAATACATTCATTTATTTTTATACAATAGATATTCAATTATTTACCCAAATATTGTGATGGAATTAAAATTACTGATACCCCATATCCAGCACTATACTTAGAATTCATAACAATCGAAATTTAGTCATATTCTGCTGTGAGCATTCAAAATTGATTCGTTGATACTCGGATCGGTAGAAACAGACGTGCATTGTTGCCCGCTGATTGCACATTCAAATGTTAATGTCCCCAACTTGCAAGTCTTGGCGGGTAGCGCTTCGCAGGCGGCGCAAAGAAACCTCAGCAGAGCTCTTGTTGCGGTGGCATTCCCCACTCGTAGAAAGTGACAGGCGGCAGGCGACGGGAGCTGCAGCCGTCATCGACTCGCGGGAAGGCGTCGTCGGAGAGGTAGCGTGAAAGCACGCTGAAGTGGCACGGACCGCGGAAGAGGCGGTGGCAAACGTCCTTTGCCGTAAGATAAACGCCCCTTGACTTCTGATGACAACCGGCAAAATGAGGCTGCCAAACGATGGTGATGCAAAGGTTTCTTAGGGAAATCAAGTACAAAAACATTTTGTGAGATGTAGTGTACACGGTGGGGAACCCATGGGTGGTGGGGGTCATGGGCTTTTTCAGGCGAATGATACAAATGAGAAGAAGAAAATTATAATTTCAATTCTATTAACAAAAGTCAATCAATATATTAATTGTTTACTTTATAAATTATACACAAAAAGTTTGGGGAAAATTTTTGTCCTAGGAACGTCGCAGAACAAGCATGAGTGATGGAAAGTAAACATTTTTAAGGTTAAAAGTTATGTGATTGTAAGTTTTAAAAAATGTTTTTAAACTACTGTCTGACAGGAAATCTGTGACCACACTTATCGAATGTACTTACGCTGTGAACATTAACTATAAGTCGACAAATAAAAATAAATTTTACGAACTATAACCAGCATAAATCCAGCAGAATACCATCGTTTCATATGCAGCAGAAAAGTTATGTTGGCTAAACACTACTTAAAAGTTCTCTCGCCCGGAGAAAATTCCTGGGTGCGGTATTAACAAGATTCTAGAAACAACATAATTTTACTTTTACATTCTCAAAGAAGTGCTGTGTTGTCTAGGCTATCCGGTGTGAGTCGCGTCACTGACATGGTGGCTAACGTTTTGGCCAGCGTATTGTGGCCTTCTTTAGAGCGTACTGCAGTACGCC